TTGAGGCCAGGAGTTTGAGACCAGCCTGGACAACGTGTGAAACCCTGTCTCTAAAAAAAAAAAAAAAAAAAAAAAAAAATTAGCCAGGTGGTATAGTTCCAGCTGCTCCAGAGGCTGAGGCAGGAGGATTACTTGAGCCCAGGAGGCGGAGTTTGCAGTGAGCTGAGATCGTGCCACTGCACTTGCAACAGAGTGAGACCCCATCCTGGGGGAAAAAAAAAGAATCACTATTCTCTAACAACCTGCACACACCCAAAAAGGTGGTAATGATGGGAGATTTGCCTTGTATTTGCTTTGTGTTCAACTGTCTTTCAAATAAAGGAGTAAAGACAGGGAAGTCCCCCTAAACCTATTCTGGTTTGGGGGCTGCCCAATAATTTTATTTTATTTTATTTTTTGAGACAGAGTTCTGCCCTCGTTGCCCAGGCTGGAGTGCAATGGTGTGATCTCGGCTCACCACAACCTCCACCTCCCGGGTTCAAGCGATACTCCTGCCTCAGCCTCCTGAGTAGCTGAGATTACAGGCATGCGCCACCACGCCCAGCTAATTTTGTATTTTTAGTAGAGACAGGGTTTCTCCATGTTGGCCTGGCTGGAAAAAATAATTTAAAAAAAAGAGTAAGGACAGTTTGAGACAGGAAAGTGGCTATGGGGAAAGTGTCTATAGCGGAGTGTGCCCATGGCCTGCTGTCAGGAGATCAAATACTACCCCACAGCGCACATGCCAGGAGGAAGAGGAGCTGAGTCTAAACCCAGGTTTTCAACTGGTCAGTTTGTTTGTTTACTTACTTATTTATTTAAGACAGAGTCTTGCTCTGTCGCCCAAGCTGGAGTGCAGCGGGCACGATCTTGGTTTAGAGCAACCTCTGCCTTCTGGGTTCAAGCGATTCTCCTACCTCAGCCTCCCAAGTAGCTGGGATTACAGGCACATGCCACCATGCCTGGCTAATGTTTGTTTTTTGTTTGTTTGTTTGTTTGTTTTAGCAGAGATGGAGTTTCACACCATGTCGGCCAGGCTGGTCTCCAACTCCTGACGTCAAGCGATCTACCCACCTCAGCCTCAAAAACTGCTGGGATTATAGGCGTGAGCCACTGCGCCTGGCCAGGTCAGTAAATTTAGATTGTGATTCCTTACTAACTAGGCAATCCCATTTCACCCAGATTTATAGCTGTGACTCCCATAGCAATTATCTGATCTTAGGAAGAAGATTAAATGGGATGGGGTAGAGAGGAAGAAAAACAATCCTAACAACTACCCCACCGGGGGACAGTTTTCCTTATTTTACATAACAAGGGCCCAAGGCCACAGACTCTAATTGGCTGTCTGCTCAAAACACTAGCCACCTCTCAAGATGGCTGGGAGAAGCCCCACCCCTTTAGAACTAAAAGTTGATCCCAAGGGGTCCTGCCCGTCTCCAGCAGTTAGTTGCTGCTCCCACACCATACCACCACACCCAGCCTCCCAAGATCCCACAAGGGGACTATACTACAGTGAGGTAGAGACCCAAGACTCAAAGCACGCACCCCCGCCCTGGCTTTGGTCCTGTACCCTAGGCCACCCAGTCCCCAGCGCTTTCTGTCACTAGGCTCCCTGCACTTCACCTGCCCTGTTCTCGGTCCTCAGACAGAATGCACAGAATCACCACTGTGGGCCACAACGCCCACCCCTGCCTGCTGCTCTGTAGCTTCCCAGGACACCACCACCAGCCCTCCTAGCCCAGCTTGTTCCCCAGAGACTAAGGCTCTAAACCCTCAGACCACCACCTCTAGAGTCACCCCTACAGTCACTGGAGCTGCTGAAGAATTACTGCCCAGGAAACATGGTTTCTACATTTCCAAGCCAGGGAAGGCCTCCTAGAAGGCACTGAATACTGCTACCCTGAAGCCATGTCACCCAACCCACAGAATCCAGCATGTCCCACCTAAATTCCCAGTGCCCATTACTCCTCAGCCTTCACCCCACACTCTGGACTAAAGCCAGAGACCCAAGGCTGAGCAATCAGGAACCAGGTGTCACTGCTTCTATGCAGCGAGTGGCTCAAGATAAAGCCCTTATCTACACCATTGCTTCCAGGAACAGGAACTGCCTGGCTTGAAGCGTTCCACCAGCACTTGAGAACAGAGATTACAAGATCCCCAAAGAGCAGAGTGGAAGATGTGTTTTTTTCCTTGCTACCAGGGAATTGTGCTTAGAGATATGAACCATCCTCCAACAAGAACAGAGCCAAGAGCCCCTGGGATCAGCAGGCCTTGGCAGGGTCTCACTAAGGGCACCCATTGCCAGGAGACACCTCACAGATGCCCCTCCACCAGCCCCCACTTCCCACTAGTCAAGAAATCAGCTAGGCCAGGCACAGTGGCTCACACCTGTAATTCCGGCACTTTGGGATGCCGAGGCGGGCAGATCATGAGATCAGGAGATCGAGACCATCCTGGCTAATACGGTGAAACCCCGTCTTTACTAAAAATACAAAAAAAATTAGCCGGGCGTGGTGGTGGGCACCTGTAGTCCCAGCTACTTGGAAAGCTGAGGCAGGAGAATGGTGTGAACCCGGGAGACGGAGCTTGCAGTGAGCCAAGATTGCGCCACTGTACTCCAGCCTGGGTGACAGAGCGAGACTCCGTCTAAAAAAAAAAAAAAAAAAAAATACATACATATATATGTATCAGCTAGCCCCTCACTCCCTCACCCCTGAGGCAATTATCACCACAGTCAAACAGACTTCTTCGGAATTTTTGCCATTTACCTGGTCAGACAGGCCTACAAGAGGTGGTATAAAATGCATCAGCCTTTCCTGAATGCCCAGGTAGTGCCACCTTCTCATACATACACATACCCCTTCAGCCTTACAAGGCTCTTCTGACATCTTCCTTCCTGCACTGGGCCAGACTCTTCGGAGTTGCTCTCTTTGCCCTGAGGTGTTTGTTTTTGTAAACCTGAACTTCTCAACGTTTAAGCGGTTTCACAGTAGTCCCCAAAGCCTTCATACTCACAAGCTAATCAAAGGCTGGCTCCTCCCCAAGGCCCAGGACTAAGGGCAGACCTGTCTGCAGTCAGAGAAAAGCCTCCCAGAAGGATGCTGCAGAGCCCTGCCCTAGGGTTGGTGGGGAGGACACTCTGTCATTTTGAATCTGTTGGAATTAAATAGCTGCCTGCTTATTTTTAGCAGGTCCATTTGCCTGGGAATAGACGCACGCTGGCTAGCTGCCAAGTGGTCACACAGAGCTGAAGTCAGGCACGTGCTACAGCCAGAGGCCTCAGCATTCATCTGCTCACTCCAGGTTCCAAAGGATCTCTTCTTTCTCCAGGGAGGTACCTGCAGCTTCTCAGAACAGCCCTCAGAAAAGTAATGGCCCCACTCTCAACTCAGCTGACAAACCTGGTAACTGCAGACTAGAGCCTTCTGCTAAACAAGAAAACAAATCCCTGGCAATGGTACATAGAGTGTTGGTCCCAGTGACTAAGCCAATTTGGCTGCAGTTACTGCAAAAAGAGCCACATGTAACTGATGGGAAAGTCCACCATAAAAACAACAGCTTAGGAGCCAAGGGCCCAACAAGCCCAATTTGGGCTTGGGCCTGGTCAGTGAAGCCACATCCACTTTGCGTTCTGAATGAGCATTTACACTGGAATTTGAACATTTCTTCCGTTATTCCAGTGTTCACACTGACAAAGGCTGTCCCCACGTGTTCTACCAATAGGAAGGAGCCTGCCCAAGACACTCCACCTCCCAAGTGCCCAGCTCATTAAGTTCCTGCTGAGGGACTCTTCCCCTTGAAGGGTGTCTTCCAAGGGCAGAGAATCAGAACCTAAAGCCCAGCACTTCAGCCACTGCATTCAGAGAATGACAGCAGGCTGTGGCCAGGCAGAGGCATACTCCCTTCCATGGGAGTTTGGTGGAGGAAAATCACAAACTCGGAGTTCTCTGTAAGATTCCAAGAGGGCCTCTTGGCTTGTATCAGATGCATTTACCTATTTCCTCGTCAGGTCACAGTCATTCACCTTGCTCATACATTCAAACATGTTTAAGTTGCTACAAGCAGCAGATTCTGATCACCAGAAGCGCACGATTCTGAAGGAAGAATCAATCTCACTCACTCACACACGCACACACCCCTGTGCCATAAGCAGCCGTGCTGAGAAGTGGGCAAAGGGAGCCCAGGAAGGCTTTCTCCAAGACGGCCAGGATTTCCTTAGGCTGCAATGGGTGGGTGGGGAGGGGGACGGGACACAAATTGAGGTTCTAATATCTTTGGGCATGGGAGGGAACAGCGAGTCCCAGAGTAAAACAGGAACAAATCCTAGGAGCTGAAGTGCTGGTCGGACGAGACAAAAAGAGTTTGACATTTGCCACAGGAGCCATAGTTGCGGCAGTTGCAATGTGGTAAAGTAGAGTAGGTCACAAGAGGTAAAGGTCTGGGTGACCCTCAAGAGTGACTGCTATCCAATACTGGCAGTCACTTAGTCATGGGAGGTTACTGAGCACTTGAAATGTGACCAGTGTGACCAGGGCACTGAATTCTACTTCAGGTTAATTTAACTTGAACTCTCCACCTGCAGCTGACCCTACCTACTGGACAATGCAGCTCTAGAGCGTGTTCCCGGAAGACCCCAATGAACAGGAGGGCTGCATAAATGCTGCAGCGGCCAACACCTACCTTGCTGGGTAGTGCTCGGTTCTGCCACCAAGGGTGGGGGCGATGGTAGGCCTGGGCTGTGCACCCTCAGCAGCATGGCTGGGCCAGGAATCAGAGTGCTGGAGCCATGGCTCAGGTGTTGGTCCCAGCCCAGCCTCAGTGCCCACAGGACTGTTACCTTCATCCTCAGGGGCCTGTGTAAGTCACAGTAAGCTATGACTTCATGTGGGTACCCTAGAGATCCCAAAGGAGCTCACAGTGGGGCTGTGAGGTCCTGTCCAGGACTGTCCCCCACCCTCCATTGTGACGGCCCACAGAGCAGCCAGGGGAGCCAGTACAGCCAGACCAGCACGCTCTGGGGGTGCTTTTGCCCTTCCATGTAGAGCAGCTGTCAGGAACTCGGGACACTTTCCCAGTCCAGTTCACAGAAGGAAGTCCAGAAGGCCAGAGGCTTAACCCAGTAGTGTCTGAGTACCTGCTTGGCAAAGCCTTCTACGGCCAAAATGGAAACCCTGAATCCACTACCAGGAGTTCTAGGTAAGACAAGCCAAAAGTCAGAAAGACCATCTCTGGACATGGCCTCAAATTAAGAGCTCCTCCAGTCCAACTAAAAGTTAAAGTAACTCCTGCTCTGGAAAACAGTACACAAGGGTGAACTGCCCAGCCTCCTTCCTGCTCTGCTGGCCAAATCCATGGCAGGTCCAAGTCACATGCCTCTTTTCGTGAAGGAAAAATCATCAGCACCTCCTACAAAGGTCTTCCCAATCACTTCATTTGGGGGGTAGGGGTGTGGATTTTAAAACTTTGAAGACTACGTCACACTCACCTGGCCCCTCACCTCTGGCTTTGACAACCATCTTGCTTTACAAGTGAATTCCGACAGGATTCTAAAGATGGTCACAATGCAGGTGCCAGGAATGCCTTCCTGGGTACATGGAGTTCCCGCCCACAACCACAGAAGACATTACAGAGGACTGCCCAAAAGGTATGAAATGGCAACCTGACAACAACCTTACTTAAAAGCCAGTAAAGACATCAGAAAAGATGTTGGTGTGCAGCAAAAAACCCTTCACAGCGCCTCACATGGGCAAAACCAAAGAGGTAAGACCCTGATCTTCCTAATGGCAGACTGTGAACTACGACCGCCCCAGAAATCACATAAAAGCATAGAAGGTAATTTCTATTCAACAAATAATTACTGGCACTCACAGGGAAAAGCATGGTGGGACACAAACTAATTAGGCAAGGCACTGCCCTCAAGGCACTTTCAGTCTGGGCAGGGAGTAGTGGAGACGAGGACGGAAGGAAAAAAAAAAAAGCCCAAACAGGCCACCATGGTAGCTCATGCCTGTAATCCCCAACACTTTGGCATCACTGCACACCAGCCTGGGGGACAGAATGAGACCTGTCAAAAAAAAAAAAAAGGGGGGGACCCATTTTCACCTGGTACCCAAATCCAGATCCCCACATTTACAACTTCTCTAAAAAGTAAAGCCAGACCTTCTGCTGGCCTGGCCTGGCGGAAGGGCTCCACGGGCCTAGCTGTCTGCTGATTTCAGCCACACAACTGAAGGCCCAATCCATGCCTTCAAACATGCCTGTCCCTGCATGGATCGGCTGGCTTCTTGTGGGCCACAAACCATGCACACCTTCTCAGCAAGCTACTGAACGATGGGCTCCCCCAAGACAAGGAAATCAACCAAGAAAGGAGGGGCACTGGATCCACAAATGAGACAAGAGAAGGGGAAAGGGAATTCCAAGGGTGAAGGGGAAGCAAAGCCAGGGAAGAGGGATGCGCCCAGGAGCAATGTGGAACTGTTGCGAGCACCTGGTGTGTGGAGCCACGGTGAGAGCCACTTTCCTCCAATGACAGGAGTTCCACAGCAACGGTGGAGGCTGGTGGGGTGGGGCATTGGGGGGTTAGGGAACTGGTGAGAGACAGAAAATTAAGCAAAAGAAACTAAGGAAATTAACTAGGAGAGGAGAAGTGGGGGAAAAGAAGAAATATGGGAAACTAAAAACCTTGCAGCCATAAACAAGGTTCATATTATAATAATGTATATTCTGAATAGCAACTTGACCAAAACTTGGGCTATCTCTACACTGGGATGATGAGGGAAGAAAAAAGCATAGGAACAAGCTAAGTCCTAGCTCCCACAGCAGAAAAACAAATCAGATAATAATCCTTAAAAAGAAAGAAAAGAATATTACTGACAAAGGTGGGGACAGCTGGAAGAATTGAAAGCAATGGGGGTGGGGAGCGGTGGGCAAAGGACTGTCCTTTCAAGCCTTGTACACAGTCAAAAGCCAAATCTTTCTATCCTGGCTAACATGGTGAAACCCCGTCTCTACTAAAAATACAAAAAACTAGCCGGGCGTGGTGGCGGGCGCCTGTAGTCTCAGCTACTTGGGAGGCTGAGGCCGGAGAATGGCGTGAACCCGGGAGGCGGAGCTTGCAGTGAGCTGAGATCACGCCACTGCACTCCAGCCTGGGAGACACAGCGAGACTCCGTCTCAAAAAAAAAAAAAAAAAAAAAAAAGCCAAATCTTTCTACAAGTAATGTTTTGATAGAAAATACATTATTAAGATACATACAAGTAGCAACGCATGCTCTATTACCACGCAGCTTTATGTTTCTTATTAACCATCCTAAATTTGCATTAATGTCAACTCATCTATGCACAAACTTGTAACGCCTTACTTTCCTATTATAATAATTGATGCCAATTGTGTGCTTCAGAGACCCCCAACTGCCCAGCTGACATAATATCAAAAAGAGAGTATGCTTATTGATAGTAAGACCCTTCTGGAAGCAAGGCACTGAAGGCTAGCCAGCATCAGATGGCTGGACCTCTCAGGGCTAGTCATTTAACAAAGAGTTTAACACGTACTGTGAGCCAAGTTCACTGGGCACACAAGGGAAAGAGAGCCTTCAGGAAGCAAAGGCGGAAGGAAGGGTAGAGAGTCAAATTATAGGTAAGATACTGCAAAGGTTCAGCGACTTAAATATAAAGACCTGCAGCCTCTCTCCACAGATTGAGAGAACTGAGCCCTAAGGCTGCCCTTGCATGTGATGAATTACCTATATCCCTGTGCGTGTAGCAGGGCACCAGCTGGGAGAGTTGAGGAACGGGTCACCCAGTCCTTTTCTGTGTGCTGTGGTTGAAACGAGAAAGGCTGGATGGAGCGCTTGGAAGGGGAAGCTGCAGACAGAATGGGGCGGGAATGCCTCTTGGAAGAGGTGGCATCAGAACTGGAACACTTGAGAGCTGTGCCAAGATCTGCGGGGAGGCAGGAGGAGTGGGGGGAGAAAGTTCCAGGCAGGAAGAACATGTGCCCAAGTCCTAAGGCAGGAACAGGCTTGGCTGACTCAAGAGGCAGCAAGAGGGGAGGTGAAGATGAGGTCAGAGCATGGCTCTCAGAGAAAGGGCTCTCCAACATCACTGAGCGGAAGGCCAGTCGGACTCGCAAGAACCCCAAGGGATATGGTCCACCAAACTTTCTCCAGGGGGGAAAATGATGTGCCTGAAGAGCCAAGCGGCTTTAGTTCTTAATTAATAAGCAGAAGCTGCTTCCAGACTTGTTTTCTGAAACAGGATGCCTCTGTGGCTGGTAGCATGACAGGTACACTGTGTAAGTAAACAAGGGCTTGCTTTTACCTTCATGTTGTCAGCGAATACACTTGCCAGGAAGCCCTGCGGCCATACCATACATTAGCCTTAGAGAGCCACCACTAAGGGTAAGGGGTAGTAAGCCCTCCTTACTCTCAGGCTCCCTCAATGGAACCTGTTCCAATAAGGCAGTCCAGCCCCAGTAGGCAGACACACACAGCCTACGTAAGCCCTTGCCACTTCTTTGAATCGGACTTTGCAAAAAACAACCTTGCTCTCCAGCCAACATAAACCATAGGCAACAGAGGGCCTTATATGGCTTGAAGCTTTCTTAATCAGAAACAGATAGATGGGCTGGAGTGAGCAGCTCCAAGTTAGAGGGAAGGAGGAACACAAAAGGAGAGAAGACAGGGTGGCCTGGGGAACCAGTAAGCTTGCTGGTCAAACTGCTTGTTCACCCCTCTTCAGCTTCTGTGGCATCCCAGTAAAGAATTCTCACTGGGGGTCTATGGCTGTGCCTCCTTTCATGTTTGCATTTTGGTTTAAGCCAGAGGACACAAGGAACCAGACTGTCCACCAATCCAAACTATTAGAGACTTTTTAGTGTCCATTTAGTGGCCGGCCCTTAGGTTGGGCAACTTCACACAAAAGTGAAGTTATGGGGCCAGGCACAGTGGCTCACACCTGTAATCTCAGCACTTTGGGAGACCAACATGGAATGATCACTTGAGCCCAGGAGTCTTGAGATCGGTCTGGGCAAGGTGGTGAGACCCCATCTCTACAAAAAAAAAAAAAAAAAAAATTTTAATCAGCCAGGCATCATGACATGCACCTATAGTCCCAGCTACTTGGGAGGCTGAGGCAGGAAGATCCCTTGAACCCAGGAATTCAAGGCAGCAGTGAGCTATGATCATGCCACTGTACTCTAGCCTGGGTGACAAAAGCAAGACCTCGTCTCTAAATAAATGAATAAATAAAAGTTTGTAATGGGGTTATGTGGTTTCCTGAGAAATTCGCTGCTGGGGCAACAAGGGGTCCTCACTCCCCAGGCAGCAGTCCTGACACCTAGCTCCCCAGCTCCCCGGGCTGCCTCAGTCACATGCCTGCCTGCACCAGGAGGCAGGCTGGGTCCCTGCCACAGATCCAGAATAGAAAAGGCAGCCCTGGAGACCTCTTAAGCAGCCACCCCCTCCACACACCCCTTGGCAGCTTCTAGGGTGGCTTTATTCTCCTCTCTCTCCTGACGAGGCGGTGGCGGCAGAGACAGCAGCAGCTTTGGCACCAGGATCTGTCCCATACACTGCAGCCACATGCACTTGGCCCTCCTAAAAGATGCCACCTGCTAAAAATAGCACCAGCACATGCTTGGCCAGGTGAGCCACACCAAAGCCAAAGGACAAAGCAGGGAGGTTATTTGCAGCACGGCCTTTTCTCCCAGAGACAGCTAAAGGCAAAGCCGAGTATGGGTCTCCCTCCAAGACAGTTCAGGCAAGTGAGACTCACTCCTGCTCCTTTTTCTTGGGAGGGTCAGAAAGGAGGGGCAAGAAGGAGTATACAGAAGACTGAACTGTCCTTCAGAACTGTTGTCGACCCAGCCTCACAAAGACACACGCAGGCCCAGGCCAGAGAAGGGCTGGGGGCTGGGGCTGTGCTTGAACAGATCTTACTGTCTCCTCTAATCAGGAGGCCAGCTACTGCCAGGTGACAGCTTTTTGGAGGGCCAGGGGATGGTCTCGTGACCTCCAAGTGAGGTCTGACAGGTGTCCGGGAAATTAGTGACTTCAGGATTGTCTTTTACAACCAGCTCAGTCTTCAGAGCAGTTTCCCTGAGCCCTCAGGCACAGCTTTTTTTATTCATAGTCATTACTTGTGCATTTCAAAAGCACCTGATGGTTGCATAATTCTGATGATAAAATATGGCTTTGGAAAGACAGGAGCGTTAAGAGCAGGATCCTGTACTTCAGTTTCCCATAAAATGAAGATGTCCTGTAATATGGAGTAAGAATATCTCCCTCACAGAGTTGTAACGAGGCTGAAAACACTTAATAGTCAGACTCCATATGTGGGATAAATGATTTTAATCTTTTTAAAACCCAGTTTAGTTTCCTGAATGAGGATGTGGTGATAAAGGGGCAGTAAATAAGCAACAGCCTATGAGCATGGGGGACGGGGGCAGAGGAGGAGGTGGGGAGCACATCCCAACCCAGGCCCAAGGCCAGTCCAGCCCTCGCTGTGTCCTGGGACCAGCTTACCCTACTGGATCCTGTTTCTTCACCCACAAGCTAGATCACTGTACTAACCTCAGAGGGCTGAGAGAGAATAAAAATGACATAGTTAGAAAAAAAAAAAAGCCACTAATATGCCAGTAGGCGCTTGTTAATACTTGTCTTTTATGCTGCCTGGCTCCAAGAAAAGAGATCTCACATTATATATATCAAAGGTCAATCTAGCAGGGTTCAAACAAAGCACACCCAGGACTAGAAGAGGGG